ATTTTCATAGAGCTGTAGTATTCTACACAATAACTAACAATGTGTAGTAAACATTCCTTTTTCTTCATAGCCCCATCAGCATTTGTTAGTGATTGACTTCTTGATAATAACCATTTTTTCTGGAATGATATAGAATCTGAGCATCTCTGGAATTTGCATCTCTGGCATGATTAGTATTGTCAAATTTTTAAACATTTGTATATCTTCTTCTGAGAAGTCTGTATTCACTTCACCTGTCCACTTTTGGATTGAATCTTTAAATTGGAGAGGAGTCTGGATGTTTTTCAACAGTTTGCATATTATAGATACTAGTGCTTTTTCTGAGACACAGCTGGCTAAAGATTTTTTTCTACTGTGAATGGTGTCTTCACTCTATGAATACTTTGCTCTGCTGTGCAAAAGCTTTTAACAGTATGATTTCAGAGTTGTTGATTCTTTGCATTATTTCCCATGCAATCAGAATTTTTGTTCTTATGTCTTCGAAAGTTCTACCTATTTTATCTTCCAGCAAAGTTACCTTTTCTGATATAATGTTTAGATCTTTGATGGATTTGAATTTTTGTTTAGTTCAAGCTGAGGGGTTGCATCTAGATTTCACATTTCATATGTAGAACACCAATTTTTGCACAGTCAATTATTAAACAGGCTACATTTCATTCAGCAATCATGTTTTGCCACTTTGTCAATGATAAGGACACTGAGTGTGTCTCGAGTTGTTTATACATCTTCTATATGTTCTTCTGATACTGAGGTCAGTTTTTTTTTATTTGCTAGTACCATGTCATTTTGTCACAGTAATTTTACAACATAATTTCAAGTCACGTAGTGTGATGCCTTATGCCTTAACTTTGTTAGCTAGAATTTCTTTTTATTCTGTGTATAATCATCGTCCAAATGAATTTTAGGATTTTTTTTTTTAGTTTTGTCAAGTATAAAGTAAAAGATGTATACATTGAAAATTACAGTGTTCCCAAAAAATATTGAAGAGTATATTAGAAAATGGAAACATAACCCTTTCTCATGAGTAGGAAGAACAAACATAATGAAAATGACCATTCTCTCAAATTTTTCTATAGCTTTATTGCAGTCTCAATCAGAATTATCACTCCTGAGTATGAAGTTAATGTTCAATTTATTTATAAAGTATTTATTATTTCCTTATCATATATATATATATATATATATATATATATATATATATATTTCCCCCCCCCACAGGTTGTCTTTTCATGATTTTTTTTACCATTCAAAATATTTTTAATTTGGTATTTTCCTACTTGTTCTCATACTATGTTCCAAATAAAGTCAATTTCCTTAAGGACTGTTATGGACTCTCTGTTATTTTAGAACTAAATCATTAAGAAGAAGCTTGCCACTGTGTTGGAGATGGTAATAGAACCTAATTGTTTTCAGTATGTATTTCTGATTTATAAGCAGATCCCTGGGCATTTGTACTACCTGTGTTCTCTGCTTACCTTTTACAGCATAGAAAGTAACTCCTTTGAGCTTGCTGGAAGAGATGAGAAATTTTGGTGATCTGCATGATATGGGGATTTATTGAAATTTTCAATGGGAAGAGAAGGAGCCAGATGAATTCACTGGGAAAATCTACCAAACACATTAGGAAGTAGCATCAAAACTGACATGGTAGCTTCCTTCTGAAGTTTCAGCACTGTGAGAGACTGAGATGAGAGGACCATGAATTCAAATTCAACTTGAGAAACTTACCAGAAACTTAACAGATATAAAATGGCCAACGTGTATAGATCAAAGGTCATGAGATCAATTCTCATTATCAGCAAAGATGAATGAATGAATGAGTAAATTAATGTACTTAAAAAACTTGTAATATACCAGAGAAGAAAACATTTCCCAACTCATCCTACAAGAGTAATTCTCTCACAAAATACAATAAATTTTTCAACAGAAATAAAAAGTCAGATCGATATTGGAAAATGTGTACATAAAATTACTCAATAAAATATTATAAACCAAAATCAGTTACATATGAAAAAAGTATACAACATGACCAATTTAAGTTTCTGAGAAATGTAAAGTTTATAAATACATCAATATAATATACATTATTAAAATTTGGAAAAAATCAAACGATCAAAATAACAAGTGTAAGAAAAAAGTTATGTGTCTAATATCTTTTGTGAAAAAAATCCCCCAAAACTAAAATTAATGAAATTTTCTCGCCATGTAAGAGACATGTAAGAAGAATATCTAGTTAATATCCTACTGAATTGTGAAAAGCTGAAATTGTTTCCTGAGAAGACAAAGAATGACAAACCTCTTGTGTTATAATTCTCCTCAGTAATTTGATAGAATTACAGTCCAGGAAGTTAGGAGGGAAAAGTAAGTATAAGTGAACTGCCTGGCAGCAAAAATTCAATATTTGTTGAAAGTGAAAAAAACATCTCTGAAGAGCTTTAAAAAGTGCTGAATAAGTGGAAAGTTTGTCCTTCATCATAGATTGAAGCACTCAGAACTATGAGGATGGCATACTATTTGTTAGAGTTTTCTGGCACAATAAAGGAGTGGAATATAAGAAAAAGTAAAAGTGACTTCTTTGTTTAAAGGATATGGAGAGGAGCCCACAACCAGCAAGGATTTGGCTTTCTCCTTTGCCAGTATTTGGGAATGTGGGGTATTTGTAACCTTTGACTGGATGTGGTTCTTGGGGCAGGCATTGATGACACTGGAGGAGCTGATTTGAATTTTGGTTGCATGCACTGGGAAAGGAAGGAGGAAGTTGTAATTGCAGAAGAAGGAGGAAGTGGTCATCAGGTTAAGCATCCCCAATTTTGTTTTCTACCATGTTGAACAACTGCCATATTGTCCTGTAATTTATTTTAGGGCAAAACTCTTTCACTCTGCAAACTGATCTTTAGATTTGATGAAATCTCCATCAAAATCTTAACTGTTTTTGCACAAATTGACTAAATCATATTCAAATTTATGTGGAAATAATTTATACCTAGAATTTCCCAATACAATTTTGAAAAAGAAGTGTAAAGAGTATTGCTTCAAAATTTCAATATTTGCGCTGGGGTTTTAGCTCAGTGGCATTAGCGCCTGCCTTGCAAGCAGGCAGTCGTGAGTTCGATCCTTGGTACCGATAAAAACGAAAAAGACAAAAAAAAAAAAATTTCAATATTTACTTTTAAGCCGAAGTAATCAAAATGATATTATACTGCACATAACAGAATAGTATTGAGAGGTAAAAATTAGTCCTTCTTTTTTTGATTATTTGAGCTTTGATGAGATGTAAAAATAGATTAATAGACATAAAACTTTTAAAAAAAGTATTGCTGAGATAGTGAAAAATTCACATGCAACAGAATAAAAATTGAATCATATCTCACACTGTAAAGTACTCCAAAACATTAGAAGCCTCAAAATAAAAGACCTATTTAAAATATAGGCTTTTAAAATTGATAAACAATTCTTATAAGAAGTACAAATGGCCAGTAAAGACATTTAAAAATGGTCATTAGTGCTATCCATTAGAGAAATGAAAATTAAAACTGCACTGAGATATCATCTTACTTCACAAAGCATGATCATTATAAAAAATGCTGGTGAACTTGTTTGTGGCTGGGGGGAAATCCCTCTTTACTGTTGGAGGGAATGTCAATTTAGGATGATCACCATGGCAATCAATGTGCAGATTCATTGAAAATAGAAATTCTGTTTGATCCAGCTGTCCTTTTCTAGGTATCTTCCCAAAAGATTTTAAATGAGAAGACTACAGGGATATTTACATAATTATGTGTGTGGGGGGAAGAACCAGAGGACTTTGTGTGTGTGTGTGTGTGTGTGTGTGTGTGTGTGTGTGTGTGCCTGGGATCCAACTCAGTTCCTTGTATTTGCCAAGAAGGCACTTAAGACAGCTGAGATAAAACACTGGCCCTCAGAGGACTCTTCTTGATTCTCACTGAAAGAGCAATAATATCTATTTTGCACAAATTGGCCCTATATCCATGTTTTCATATGTGCAGAGCTGGCTGGGATTTCTTTTTGTCACTTCAACTGGATTTATGCAATGTAGATTGGCCTAAATGAGGAGCTCATGTGTAATCTTTGAAACAAGGTGACAGATGCTGCTTCCCTACCCAGTGGCTCCCCAAATACATGTTTTTCCAGGCAATATGGAGAGCCTTGCTCCACGCCGTCAGCTGGGACTGAGCCTGGAAAGAAAGTTACAACTTTCATAACAGAGGTGAAACATCAGCCTCACAATATCAGACACTACTTCTGCTGTTTTATGCAGAGTACTCCTTCAGCATTTCTAGACCTCTAAATATCAGAGGTGATCGTAGGAGGCCTACCTAGTCCAGTTCACGGCAGTCAAATATTTCCTGCCACTCTCAATTTCACTCATCCTCCAGCCATTACTTTCATGGAGAATTAATAAAACTTGGATTGGGTCTTGGGTCTTGACTTCTGTTCTGGTGAACCATCATCCTTGGCTCCCTATAATTGTATATACATCTTTCTATCTTTATTCTCACCTTGGGTTGCACTGGAACTGGTAGACTGGAATTAGCATGCTAGAATTCTATAACTTCTCCATGGAATTGCAAATATAAACTTTCTGGGCCATGATGAGAGTGAGAAAGGGACCTCTATACCCATGTTTCTGTTATCAAAAATTATAATTACTACTGTTGATCTCAGTATCAGCATTATAATTGATCAACAAGTGCATAAAGAGAACATAGTATTTGTATAAAATGGAGTTCTGTTCTACCATAAAGAAAGAAAAACATTAGGCATTCATTGGTAAATGATAACATTTGTTGGTAGGTGATAACACAAAGTTAAGTGAAGTCATTCATACACAAAAGTGGAAATTACAACATGGTTTCTCTTATGTGAGAGAGAGAGGAAAAACACAATACTAGAGAAATTAATAGAATTGGAGAAAAATTCAAATATTTCCTCAAACAATAAGTTCAATGTAAAAAAAATCAATATACATGTTACCCTAGTTTATCTTTGTTGAAGAGAAAGATTTGTGATATTATCTGTTATTTTTTTGTGAGAATTGCTTTGGTTTATGTTTGTACTGTAATCATTTTAAAGATATGGTCATATGGTGTCACAGAAGGAAAGGTTTATGACTGAAAAATGAATTTTCCAAGGCCATCAGGTTCAATGTACCTACATTATTAAGGAAAAATACCACTGGTTTACATGTCAAAACTTGACAGTAATGAAGATGACAGATACTCATTTATTTGGGAAAAGCATTACAAAGTTCTTTGTAGACTTAGTTGCTACAAATATGGCATTACATGACACTAAGCTCAACATCATCATATCTAAAGTTTTCTTGTCTTAGTGACAATGGAGATCCCTTCTCTTCCATGCTGGAGTTACTACCTTCTCTTGGAGGTTGACGGAAGGTGCCTGTAACAGTAAGGAGAGTCATTATTTCTGTGATGAAAAAAAAATCAATAGTACTTTTTTAGAATAATTCGTGTGAGCATAGTGAGTACAAAGTAATGCAAGGGCACAGAGCTCTTCTAAAAGGTGAGATAGAACTAACTGATACTGACTTCTCTCTTCATAGCATTGTGATGATGTCAGCAATGAGAAAGAAATAGTTCATTAATGACAAGGAATGAGAAAGAGGAAGAAAAGCCTCTTTCAGAAATGGCTGAACCTATACCCTAAGAAATGAAGAAGAGATGATAACGAGATTTGCTCTGTGCCTCATGACAGACCACACATGACCTCAAAGTGTTAATTAACTCTCCTTGATTCAAAAGTTGACAGATGAACCCAGTCTCACTGTGTCTTGATCTCCATGAACACCATGTCCATATATGAGCAGAAAGACTAGTCCATGGCAATGATGTCCGGGGCAACTGAAACAAGGGCACTAATTTTTTTCTTTCTCATATTGCTAAAATTTTATCATTCTTTACTTAAGGCCAATTGCACATTCTGCTAGTATAATGAAAAATTTCAACTTCAAATATTTGTTTACTGTTTTCTATAAAATTTATATAGTACATAGGCTAAATTTCTACAGCTCATAAACAAAATTTGCCTTGTTATTAGAAAAATTTACAGAGTATACCAACAAATAGAAAGAGCACCCATATTCATAGTCAGATCAAGTGTTGTTATTACTATAAAAATAGCAGTAAAAGCACAAAAGTATTAAGTTCACATATATGAGAAGTAATCATGAACACAGGAAAGTACCATATTTTTTCTCAGAACAATTGGAATATTTAGAATAATATTTATAATAATAGTTTTAATAGTGAACAGTTGACATCATTAAGTATACATGTCTATCTAACTAGCTTTTTGACCCATAACTGATAGTAAACAAAAACTGATGATTGCTTGATCTAAATTTATGTTTCCCATAACAGTTAAGTAACACAGTGGAGAAAAGAGATGTACACCAACTTGACTGAGAATTCCTGGCACCACCACCATCTTGTGGGAAACAGTGCATCTCACTCATCTCAGGGGAGGAAGGAATTTTAGGAAAAGGTAACTCTTCAATATCATCATATCCATTCTCTGTGATAACAGCATGCTGTTCTGGATGTTCTGAAAACAGACAATGAATAAAGTGGAAGAGCAAAATTGATTGGGCAAAACTATTTAAATGTCTTCAAATGTAGGGACTCTAATATAATAGCCACCATGTTCCAAGGTTGTTGAATGACAGATATATATTTGTATTTTTAGAAATCATTAAATCCTTAAAATATGCCAATATATTAAGGTAAATAATATTTTATTAAAATATTCTTTAATTCTACAATACATTAACAAATTAGTGATCTGAGTTGCAAGTACTACATTATGGTTATGATTCAGATTGAAACATGTTATATGTATATACTAGATGAATCTGGTAAAAATCCAATTTTTCTCTTTCTTTCTTTCTTTCTTTCTTTCTTTCTTTCTTTCTTTCTTTCTTTCTTCCTTCCTTCCTTCCTTCCTTCCTTCCTTCCTTCCTTCCTTCCTTTCTCTTTTTGATACCAGGAATTGAAGTCAGGGTATTTCCTTGAATTTTCCATGTAGGTGCTGGTTGCTGAGTTATATCTCCAGTTCTATGCATGTCCTTTCTGAAGCAGTAGGGCATATAGAGTTGGGAGGGACAGTAAGACCTTGTTTTGTGCAACACTGAGATAGGCAATCTCACTTCCAATTAGATGATATGATTTCACCCCTACTAGTACTGTGTTGACCTTTGGATTTCATCTCGACAGAGCTTTTCTTTATGTGATTCATCCCAAATTATGCATTTTTTTATCACTTGGGAAATTTCCAGGGTGGACAGTCTCCCCTCTTTGGTCTTTTGTAGGGAAGATCTCTGGGTAGACGGTAACTTCATGTATTTTAGTCAATATTTAAGTTACCTTTCAAAAAATCTTGTAATATTAATATGAATGATTTATTGCTCTATGTGAATGTGTAAAATGTATTTCTCATTGTTCTTTATCATCATGGAGTTTTTAAATTTTGCAATGTTATTTGTGAAAAAAATAGCTTTTGAATTTATGGTAGTTAATTTGTGGTATATTTGTGGCTCTGTAGAAGTATCTGTGGAGGCCAAGAACATAAAATATGACCCTGCTTATTCCAAGATTGTTGGAAAACACTATGCATCAGCTCTAAGCAGAATTTAAAATTAATTCGCTTTCTGTGTTTATCTGTGAGTCTTTCCTAGATCTCTCCTAGGCCTTGCCTGGTAAGAGGAGCTGACTCATACTAGGTGAACCTGTATGAATGGTCCTGGCTGAGGCCTGTAGTGGCCTGTGAGGCCAGAGATATCTCAAAGGGAAAGCTAAGGCCACAGATGAAGACATCTTGGCTGCAACATTAATGAAGAAAATGGCGACTGTAGCTGAAGACATTTCATTCATGCGGTTGCACTCCTACCATAAATATCATCCTGGAGATAAGATGGTCCTCCTAAATTGGCATAATTCACTACTTTGAGAAGTCTTTGAAATAATTTCCAAGGTCCTGCAATTTCCTATGCTTTCCTCAGTTTTCCTGCCCCTTATTGTTGGACCTAATAAAGATGGGCAGTCCAGAGAAGTCTTTTTCTTAGCCCTCAGAGCCTGGAGCTCCATTAAAGGGCTTTGATCTTCCTGGACCCCTAAAATAATACCACTTATCTTATTTTATTTAAGCCTCTTCTCTCATTCATTTGAGAGAGTGGGGATCTAGGTCAGGGCCCAATACAAGATCACAGTGTAAGCAGACAAAAGCACATTGTTTTACCCCAGGAAGAAATAATCATCCCCATCCTAATCACAGGAGAACATTCTCCCCAGACAAGGCTTTTTCTTCTCCCATAACCTATAAAAGGGAGATTTATCTCTACTACCTGAGGCAGACCTCGGGTCTTCATTCTCTTCATTTTCCTCATTTTCCTCTGTGTAATATGGGAGCTTAGTCACTGAGTCCTCAAATAGTTTTCCTGATAGGAAGAAAAACATCAGGCAGGAGACAGGAGAGGTAATTATATTACAGGTCCACAATAAGGACTTGGAGTTTCTACCTTAGATAAGGCTGATTATGGAAGGTCAGATTTCATCTTCAAATTGCAAGGCTTTTACAAATACAAAGAGATAGAGAGTTTGAAGTGAAGGGAAAGAAATGGAAAACAAGAAGTATCAATATATACCAGTTACATGTACAAATTCTATATGCTGAATGTCATCACTTTATATAACTAAAATGCACCAATAAAATTGACCTAAATTTTTTAGATACTGAAAGCACAAAACCAAAGCCAGCTCATGACCACAAAAGACTGTAAGGTACACACCTGTGTTGTCAAACATGTCCTCCTGTGGCTTTACAAGGTACCGTATCTCCTCATAAAAGGCCTCCTTCAGAGGATCTTCAAAGAAAAAATGGCAAAGAAAGTAATATGAGTTCAGGGTTTGCTCCTAGAGGCATTTCCTCACCAACAGAAAGTATTTGACTTCCCTTATATTTGGTTTTGGGGACACTCCTTTGGGCTGCAAGGTCACTATCTTTGCATTGTGCTATTTTGGGACAGAAGTAGGTTTTCTGACCATACATGCATCTTATGCTCAGTCAAACTCTCACTATCTATATGAAAAAGTAATTTTTAGATTTCCCATATTCATTTATGATGAAGAATTCAAGTCTTTTAAATCTTGAAATGTAATTAGAGGAAAATATTTTTCAAATAATGAAAATGTATATGGAAGCATGACAATTACCTAAAAGTCACACCTTGTATGATGCTTTCTTTTACGGTTTATATCTAAAATATCACCCCTGAAGACTGATGCTCTGAGATGGGGCCTGGTGAGAAGGAATGGGTTCACTGAGAGATGACTTGGTAGTTGTATTCTTGTCTTTTTCCCTGCAGTTTTCTCATCTCCATTTAGTGGACAGATTTCCTCCACCATGCCATTCTGTCATAGAGTTTTTACCTTGAAGCTAGCCAACCATAGCCTCAATCCAATTAATCTGTGATCCAGAATACAACTTCTGTTCCTTTAAGTGGCAGTTTTTGGGACAATATATTCTAGGAATGGAAAAGTGGCAAACATAGAAACTTGCTGCACACAGTACAGATTTTTCTGTCAGTGTACCTGACTACGAGTTTCGGGAGCCTTTGATATTTGTTTTCTTCTGAAGTTTGGAAATGTTTGGAGATATAAATCTCAAGAAGCCTCAGAATGCTGTAAGCAGAGTAGTCAGAGATTGATGGGAGATTTTGTTCAGAGTTAAGAAGACCAGAATGATATTAGGAATGTGGGCCAAAGACAAGCTCAAAAGGTTTCAGTAGGGAATAAGGATCCCTTTTGTAGTGATAGAAATGTGCATTATACCTTAACAGAAAACTTATCTTCATTTTGTCCATGTCCTAAGACTTTGGAGGAGACTGAGATTGTAGGTGGTGGATGTATTAATCTGGCAGACAGAACTTTATAGTAGCTAGTATTTAGGCTGTGGCATGGGTACAGTTGGATGCTGGTAGAGATTAATAGTTTGAGGCAAGATCAGAAAGGGATCACCCTGATGGTGTGAAAAATTCACAACTTCTCCAGAAAGGAAGGACCTGTATAGTTGGAGTCAAAGAGAGTAGTGGTTGCTGGAGAGATTAGCATAAAAAAGAAAATACTACTTTTCATCATTTTCAAAAGAAAAATTGTAATAAAGGCATCTCAGTAAAGACCTAGTCTACCTCAGGTCCAAAATTGAAAACTTTTAATTTGAGAAGATGAGAGTCCCTGGGACTCCTTCTCAAAAATGTCCTTCTACAAAAATAGTCACCCAGAATTCATTTCACTTTGCCCAGCCTTCCATGCCCTCAGATTTCATGTATGCCATGGTCCACAGATACAAGATGACTTCTCAGTCCATGGCAGACCTTGGTACAATACACATTGTATTAATTTTGGAAGCATGTAAGATACTAGAGTTATGATATTAGAGAGACTTCTATCCAAATTTCAAAGGGATCCACAACAGAGTAGTGTGTGAAGCTGAGAGTGAAACTAAAGGGAAATGGAAAGCTGAATATGCCAGGAGCAAAACACCTTTGCCAAGTACAGCCATAGATAGTATTGTAGCCAACTCAAGACAAAGGCCATTTAAGCTACAATCTTTTGGCCAAGTTCAAAACTTGTCACAACTTCTCCTACGTGTTGAACCTAGAACAGGTTTTAATGTTTGACCTGCTCAGTTATATTTTTGCTTTGATTTCATTTCTTTATATCATCCTATATCTCACTTTCAGAACAGGCATATTCACTTTGTTCCCATATATTTTTGAAGTGTTTAATTTTATCTTTGATTTTCATAGGAACTCACAGAAAGAAGTTGTCTTGAGTGTCTCAGAGGAGATTTTGGAGTAGAACTTGTCAAAATTGCTGGCACTATTAAGATACCAGTGACCCCAGGAGATACACTCTGTTCATTCTGCATAAGCTTTTCTGGACAATTGGTTGAATGTCAGGGCTTAGATTAAAAAAAAAAAATGTCTCCCCCCCCCCTAAAAAAAAGTCTCATGTGTTACTATGAGAGAAGAACTACATACATGTATATTTTTATCCACTCAAGAGTTCATGGTGATTATGCTGTTAAAAAGTGGGTCTGGGTGGAAGAGGCAGGAGGCCTGCCTTTGGAGGGAATATCTCAGTTACAAATTCCACCCTTTTTCTTTTGCTTCATTGTTATATAAAGTAAAAAGCTTATGCCATAAGATTCTGCCTTATAGTTTCTGTCTTGGAGCTAACCAGCCATGCATTAAAATTCACTAAAATGTGAGACAAAATAATCACTTCTCCTCTAAAGATGTGAGAATGAGGTATACTTTTTCCAGTCATGGGAAAATTAAAGACACTTTTTCCACATAAATCTACATTACCAAAAGTGTGAAGCCACACCTCGGATCACTGTTTTCCATCTGCGCATCTGAGTCCCCAGGACAATGAGGACCAGGAGGAGGAGGGCTCCCAGGATGATGCAGATGATCACAGGTAAAGAAAAGAAACCTGGAACAGGTGGAGAGCTTGAGCTGGTACCTGAGAATGAAAAGAGGCTGTCAGTTTTTAGAGAGGGTCAAAGGTCTATCTTCTGAATGAAGATCTCTCTAAAATGAATTTCTGTTAGCACTGGAAGCCCTGTGGCTGCCACAGTGGAATGAAATTTCATGGTTACTTTGAAAGCTTGACCATCTGGCCTATTGCAATACTGCCTAAATATGTACATTTCTATTGCACAGGTATGAACATCAAAACATGTCTCTATGGCCTGGCTCAAGGAAGAGCTACTTACTTCTATCAATGGGAGAAACTGTTGTCCTTTCATCTAAAGAGAAAAGAAAGAATATAGAATCACTCCACTTTGTTAGACATTCACAACATCAGTGCATGTTTCTCTCAGCAGTTTAGAGCACAGCTTCTTCTACCATGGCACAAGGCAGACGCAGTTTTGGACAATACTCTCCCATGGCCCCAGCCCACACACCTGGCCCTGCCGCTCACCTGAGCACCTCACGCCTGCATCCTCCTCATGCTTGCAGTCACTCTGTCCCCAGGGTGCCCTGGCACAGTCCCACAGGGAAGACTCCCTGCCTCTGCACTGCATTTCATCGAGCCAGATGCTTCCATTTCCAGGGCCAAATGCAGCCTTTCCCAGAGCCGCCAGCGCATGGCCACAGCCCAGCTGCTGACACACCACCTCAGCCTCTGCCAGATCCCAGGAATCATCACACACTGTGCCCCAGGAGCCTTTGTACCACAGCTCTACACGTCCTGAGCACTTGCTGTCTCCTCCTCTGAGCCGCAGCTTCTGTGTGTCTGGAAAAGCAGCAACAATTCCTTTTACTTCCTTGGTGGAGAGAAGGAGCCCCTAGGGAATATGAGGAAACAAGGAGGGGCTGAAGTACCTGTGCAGGGGGCAGACTCTGGACAGCTCTTAGGTCTCAGTCCTACAGAAGGAGACAGTGGAATGGCACTGAGTCAGGGGTGGCTGGTCCTCGTCCTCCCCCAAAACAAAGATCTCTAGGTATTGAGTGCAGTTCAGATAGCAATGACACACAAGAGCCTTTAACATTAGTTCAGCAGTTTGCCTGCGGAGATATTACTGACTCATTTGTTTATCAACATTTCAAATTAATTTTTTTCATTTCAGTTTCATAACTTACAACTTGCTCACACCAAACACAATATCAAATATACACAGATACTTACACATATCAAAAACCGAATTCCATAGAGGAAAGGGCTCACATGTCCCAATTCCTTTGTTCCTGTGTCAGAACAGTGTGTTTCATGGTGGTCTAAGTCCTCAATAAATAATTAAAGAGAACCTTCTCTATGTACTCTGAAGAGGGGCTTGTAAACATTTATTGAATGAGTAGGTAGATTTGTTAATGCTGCTAAATATAATTCATTTCACTTCTTGATAATCAGATAGAAAGATAATAGAAACCAATGGTACTGATTTGTAGTACTATTTTCTGAGCATATACCACCCTGCCTTGGAGCCAGACTATTATGATTGAGACCTTTACAAACTTTGAGCTAAACATTTCTCCATGTAACTTTGGGGTGTCGTATATTCTGTCTCAGAAATGAGAGAAGGTAGCTAAGAAACATGATCTTTACCTTTAGTAAACTTTAGCTTCTACAGGGAAAAGATAAGAAGTTAGGAAAAGAGACCATGGAGAATGCCAACATTTGTGAAATATTTATCTTTACATTCCCTTTTACTGTGATTTTCAGAGATTTCTCAGCACATTACTTGAGATAAAACTGAATGAGGTCTGTGTGTGTGAGAGAGAGAAAGAGAAAGAGAGAGAGAGAGAGAGAGAGAGAGAGAGAGAGAGAGGCAGAGACAGAGAGACAGAGATAAAGACAGAGTGAGAGATAAGAAAGAGAAACAATGTTGAAGGAAACGAGAGCACATAAAAAATAAAGCAAGGGAAGAAGGATATAATGAGTGCATACTTTTTGATCCTGTACATATGTGTGCTTTAATGTAACATTGTAAACAAAATTCACAATTTTGTATATAAATATGAATATAAAAATAGAAATCATTGGTTTTAAATTGTTAAGAAAATATAATATAAAATAATATGTACTAATATTGTAAAAAACGAATAAAAGATAATAAAAATTTGCCATTTTACAAATAAATGGCTTTGAGATATTCCTCTAAAATCATTAAGTATAAATAACTAAAGGTAATACTAGTGGACAAAAGGTGATGTAATCTGATAAATTTAACATTTTTTATTACATATTTTCTTTGCTTACAATAAGTGCATAATAATTTGTAAAATAGAGAATGGTGTTTCTTTTTCTTTCCTTTTTTATATTTATTTATGTATTTATTTTTGTGCTGGGGATCAAACTCACAACCTTGTATTTGCCAAGAAGGCAAGCTAAATCCAAGCACTCAAGCTAAACTCCTGGCTAGGAACTGTCATTTCTTGAGACCTTAACTAACAGGTGTGAAATGCATAAACCCCTTAGAACTCAGCAGGTATAAATTCAGCAATAGCAAGTGTGCCCAGTTTAGGGAAGAGAAAGAGGGGCGTGGGTGTAAGGGGAGTTGGGCGAGCCACCCCTTTGTGCCTTTAGTTCTCTTAAACCAGTGCACTGCTTTGAACACTTCCTGGGAATTTGGCATGGGGGAAGCACTTTATTAGGGGTGAAGAAAGAACTCCACTCTTCATAGTCTTCTTAAATCTTCCAGAGGAACTTACAGAGCATCTTCTTCCTTTTCTTGAGTAAAGTCCTTACGAACAATCTGCCTACATGTTCATTTGCATATAGGCTAAATAGGGTAGTTATAGACTCCCTGCAATAGAGTTTCCAATTGATTTTGCACCTGAGATATAGAATGGCATGTGCCACCATCACTTCTGAGGTTATGTCACCTCGTCACACATCAGCAAATTAATCAAATTGGAATTTTAAATATATTTCTGGAATGAAATAGCTAATATATTATCAATCAGAAAAAATACTAGAGAGGAAACCACTGAAATAACCAGAATATCTAAGGCAATAATGCGATTGAAGGGATAGAAGGGTTAAGGAGATATTTTTATATAGAGATGGAAGAACTTCCTATTGAAATTGGAGAGAGTGAGAAGAGGGGAAATGAAGGTGATTTGAGCCTATGTCAATGGTGATAAGAGAGACACTGACTGGAAATTCAACTGGTAGAAAAAGTGAGAGGTAGAGACTGAGTGGGTAGAATCAGTTGTTCTATTCTTCAAACTAACTTTGAGAAGCTTATTAGATATCAAGTGATGACATTAATCAGTGATGAAACATGAGCTTGGAATTCAGGGCACGATGGATTGTGTAAGTTTACATTTGGGAGCTGTCAATGTTATAACAGCATCTGAGGCTGTGGGGCTCAAAAACATCATCTAGGGGAGGAACATCATGAAGGAAGAGTAGAGTGTTTGAGTCTCAGCCCTCAGTGTATCTCAGCCTAGCAGTCGAACAGAAAAGATACAATGCAGGAAGACTGAATAAGAGTAATTGCTAAGACTGAGTGGTCAGAAAGAAAAATGTAAAGGAGAGAGTGTCAGATTGTTGAATGCCACTGAGAAGACAAGAATAACTGCAAGATAATTTTTTTGCTGTGTTTTTATTTTCTTGCGAATTCTGAGGAGTAGTAGAGTCCAAAATTTAATTGGAATAAGTTCAGCATTACCAGCATAACAAAAATTAAACCTAGCTATTAATGAAAATTCTCTTTTGAAGTTTCAGAGGTCATGAGGAGGGAAAACAGTTGAGTTAGACTCTCCCTCACCCTATCACATCCAACAATAAGAATTTTCTCAAAACCTGAAAGGCGCCCTGCTCCTCCCACCTCTTTATTTACATTGCTCAAAAAGTTTATTGGAGCATTAGTTCATGATTCACATGCCCAATTCAGTTTCTCTGATATTTTTCACATAGATTACTGTTATCACTTTTCTATTTCTTCTATTGGAAACAAGAAATACATTAAATAAGTAATCTAAAATTCAAAATTCATTTTGTAGACATATTGAAACACAGAACTTACATATGAAAACATGATGTTTTCCTATAGAAGCCTACAGGATTGAGAGAGATGCACATAAATAGACAGTAGATCACCTGTGCATGTGACATAAGCTGAGTCCCTTGGAATGCAAGATCTTTGATTCCAAGCATCAGAAGGACACTGCCAGAGAGAGGTATCAGTTTTCCGACACTGTATTCCATCCACCCACTGCGGTCTAGAACCTTTCCTGGCAGGAACAGAAGTATTGAGAATCCCAGTGTCCCCACAGCCAAGCTGTTTGCAGATCACAGACAAAGTCACTTCTTCCATGGGACTGAGGCAGACACTGCCCCAGGTTCCATTGTAGAAAATCTCCAGCCACCCAGAGCACTCCTGGTCCTGGCTCACCATCCTGAGATCCAGGAACTCTAAAACAGAATGAGGCATAGAAATAAGGAGACCCTTAGTACATTTTTTACTTTACAATGAGTAAAAACTCATCGTTGACTATGCTGAGAAAATAACCTTTACATAGAAATACTGAAATTTATTTATCTTTTACCTATTTTGCAATTCTGAATAAGTTATTCAATTACTGCCACAGTGATGTAGAGAAAAATGAAAGACAGACTCTGACCTGAGGTCACTGCAGGTAAGCAAAGGCTGATTGCTGTTTCTTGAATAAACTTGTGGAAGGTAGTAAGGGCAGTGGAGGGAAAGCAGCATAGTGGAGCACTGAATACGTTCACATGCTGAACTTATGGCCTATAAATGCATTTCTTCACTTGATGAGAGGGCTTTGCTGGCCAGATTAAGTGAAGGCCTTTCAGTTGCAAGATTATCCTAGTAATCTCAATAGGTAGGTTTCTGGATTAACTAGGTGATCACTAGCTCATAATGTTCTCATACTATATCTTTACTATCATTTTTATGATACTGGTTACAAGGAGGTGTTACCAAAGAAGAATGGTCAGAGAATTGTGTGGTATCTGGATTGAAGGAGCCAAGAAATGAAGACAGATTCTAGAAATTAAAAAAGACGTGAATATGAGTTTTCCTTAAGCATCAGAAGAGGGTACCCCTGCCAACATCTTGTTTTCATCCCAGCCAGAAATGGGACAAAATTCTACCTGAACAAGTGTAATGTAATAATTCATGTTTGATGTTACTGTGTGGTAATTTGATACAGCAGCAATGGAATATAATGCAGGAGGACTCAACATTTGCACCCACAGGGAACTGACAAACACTAGAGAATGAATGTCAGGTGACAGAGATGAGAAGGAAGGGCAAGAAGCTCAACTACAACAGGAAGAGATAGCACATCCTATTTTTTTTTTTTTCTGAACAGAAAAACATATGGGAAGGATCCTTCCTACCTCTGCACATTGAGATACTGTCTGAACACTCATTTTGTGGTCAGAGACCATCTTGGAGACCCTCTCACCTCCTCCTATTTTGGAAAGTGTGAGCACAGACCTGAGCATATGACCCCTGCGTCCTCTTTGTGCCTGCAGTCATGCTGCTCCCAGCCCTGGGAAGGGCAGTTCCACACGTGGGTCTCCTCTCCTGTGCAGTTCAGCTCATCCAGCCAGATGGGCCCTGATCCCTGACCAAAGTGAGCAGAGACTGTGGCATTAAGGGCCACTCCACAGTTCATCTGTCTGCACACAACATGGGCATCATTCAGGTCCCAGCTGTCATCACAGATGGTGCCCCAGGATCCCTGATGCAGAATCTCCACTCTGCCTGCACAGCGAGTGCCCCCATTCACCAGACGCAGCTGTCTGCTATCTGTGGAGAGACAGAGTCAGGGCAGTTGTGCTGACACAGTAAGGAGCAGATTCTTTCCTGGGGACATCCTCACCTAAGCAGTTGGCGTCCTGTACTTCTGAGGCTGTGGAATCTCCTGAGTTAGACAGGGAGTCCTTGTACTGGGGCAGAAGCTGAGTCTTGTTTCCTAAATGCAGAATAAAAAAGAAGGAACCTGTTACACTAATGATGGCATCTAGGATAGAAGCTAAAGGAGGAGACTGATTTCCTGTTCAGAGCTGAATTTTCATATGTAGATATTTACTTTTGACTGTATCAGACTTTTTAGTTTGAAGTCAAACCCTAATAATGTCTTGGAAGTCCCTCCTACTTGCCTCACTGGCCTAGGATGACTGAGGATAGTCAACTGCCCCTCCTCCTTGCCCCCTAGACCTACAGTGGCCATAGAATATTGGGTACCCCTCCTTCTTGCTCACGTGGATTTCAGATGGCCATGGTTCACTGGCTACTCCTCCTCTTCCTCATCCCTGTGACCTGGGACCAAGACAGATCACCAGCTGCTACACCTTCTCCTCACCTCTCAGACCTGGAACCACCCTGGCTTATTGACTGTCTCTCCTCCTTACCCCCCAAGCCTTGGATAGCAACAGATTCTAGGCTATCCTTCTCTACCCCAAAGGCTACAACAGACTACTGACAATCAGTAAACCTAACATCTGCAGAACCTTGCTGGGCTTATGGGAGACTTAGAAATCCCTCATTCTCACAGAGAACCTCAGTGGACTTGTGAGACTGTGGATAGTTTTCCCATCAAATAGAGAACCTCTAAGCAGGAGAAGTAGGAAGGTCTCCCCCAGTTGTAGGACCTAGGCAAGGCTAGCAAGAGTGTGGGTGCGTTCTTATTCCATATACGGAACACCAGGTGGGTTTAGAAGTGTGCTCATAAGGCCCCTGGTCCAAGCTGAAGGAAATGAAAAGGGCTTGCCAGACCCCCAGTGACACAATAAGGTTCCAGCTGAGGTGAACACCATAATCAGGTAGATCTGGTCACCTGAAACAACCTGAAGCCATAGTAACAGCAGGAACTAAGGGTTAGCTTATGTTAATACTCCTAGGCTAGTCAACCTAGGAAGGATATAGGACTCAGCCAACAGGCCCTGCAGGAGGAATTCAGGTGACTGGCCTTCTAGTTCATTGTGGGACCCAACAATTGGACAAACATCATCCACACAGTAGGATTTTAAGACATGCACAACAGACAGTTGAGACTAGTGATATTGAAAGACCAAATATTGGCCCAAGAGATGAAAATTACACAATGAAAAAGCAAAATGCAATATCTAATGCACAGTCCCCTGGAAAAAGTACAGGAGACACTGAAATCAAGGATATTAAAAGTTGTACACCAGAAATTTAAGCAAAGGTAGCAAGTGAAGCATAGAAACTTATCCATGAGGCTATGGTGAAAATCAGATTAAAATAATCTGTTATGTAAAAAAGAACTGACAACCTTAATAAAGGAGCTGCTCAGCATAAGAGAAGACATTAGAAAAAGTACAGGAGCATGGGAAAATGATGGAAACCTTGAATGAACAATATATAAAAGAAGTAGAATCATGAAGCAAATTCAAAGAGATAACCAGGAGATAAAACAGTCCACTGAAAGCTAGAAAAACCATTTGAATGAAGCTGAGGGTATAATTTCAGACTGTGAGAACAAGATTGCAGCTAGTGACCAAGAAAGAAAAGAAATTTTAAAAGAAACAAAAGTATGAAAGACAATTCAACAGTTTCAAGAAGATGAAAGAGAAACAATATAAGATTGATTGGCATTAATTATGATGCAGGGTTCAATGCAAATGACATAGGAAAACTATTCACAGAGGTAATAGTAGAAAATTTCCCAAACAAGGGGGAAAAATATGACAAATAAATGAGGAATATAGAATGCCACACAGTCAAAACAAATATAAATCTACACCAACATATAATAATTAAAATTTCAGAAATGCAGCATAAAAACAGAATACCAAAAGCTGTTAGAGAAAAGACACAACTTTCTTATCAAGGAAATCCCTTTAGAATCACAATACACTTTTAGCACAAGTTACTATGAGCTTGAAGGGAAATGTTTCAAAACAACTTTCAAATGAGATTGATGTGCCCTGCAAAACTTTCTTTCAAATTTAATGGAGAAATAAGATACTTCCCTCACAAAGAATAGCTGGAGAGATTCATGTCCCCCCAACCAACCGAAGAAAGAGTACTGAAAGACACTCTAGATAAAGGTAAAAATGACTGCATTTCCCAAAACAACAACCAAAAATAACCACCAGAAAATTTAACAAGGCGGAAAAGCAGGAAACACACCACAGAAACATGTATTGAACCAATACATGTTAGCTGTATCCATCAACTATTAAAAAAAATAGTTTGACAGAATAGATGAAAAAACAGGATCTAATAATTTATTGTATGCAAGAAATATATATGACTTAATCAAAACTCATAGAGTATGGTCAAAGGATAGAAAACAATATTTAATGTAACCGGAAGGTAGAAAAAAAGCAGAGGTAGGTATTCCATTTGTAGACAATGTAAATATGAAACCAAAAATGATTGAAAGAGACAAATTACATCACTATATGTCTGTCATGAGAATAACTCAAGAGGAAAGGCTAACAATTATAAACATATACAAAATATAGGAACACGGAAATATATAAGACAGAAACTAGTAGATATGAAAAACCAAATAACAACACAGTTGTAAAAAGGGTCCTCAATACTGCATTGTCACAAAGAGATATATCAACTAGATAAAATGTTGGTAAAGAAATAATAACTGATTCACTCTTGTGAACAGATGGGCTTAGTAGATGTCAACACAGTGTTCACATCAGAGTACACATCTTTCTCAGCTGTTCACGGGACATTCTCCAAAATAGATCACACATTAGCCAATAGAATATTATTACGTAAATGTAAAGGGATTGAAATTATCCCATGCATATTATCTGACTTTAGAGAACTGGAATTGGAAATTAATAGCAAAACCTACATAAAGTCATGGGAATTAAACATCAACTTCTAGAAGTTGAAACATCAACTTCTAGATTACAAATAAAATTAAAGAAGAAGTTAAGCAATACCTACAATTGAGTAAAAATACAGATCCAACACACCAAAACCTGTGGAACACAAGGAAAATTTTTCCTAAGTGGGAAATATATAGCACTGTCACATCAAGAAAACAGGATGAGCATAAATAAACAACCTAATGCTACACCTCAACCTTCTGGAAAAAGAAGAGCAAGTGAAACTCAAAGCTAATAGAAAAAAAAATTATAAAAATCAGAGCAGAAGTTAATGCAACTGAGACTAAGAAAACATTTAAAGAATCAATCAATGAGCTGGTTTTCTGATAGAATAAACACAATTAATAAACCTCTAGCCAGCCTTATCAAGAAAAAGAAAGGAAAAACTCAAATTCATGCAATAAGGTCTGAAAAGAGAGATATTACTATAGAGCCCCTAGAAATTCAGAAGATCATGAATACCTGCTTTGAAAATCTTTAGTTGCATAGGGTGGAAAACACAGAGGAAGTGGACAAATTTCTAGAAATGTGTGAATTACCAAAGCTGACAAGAAAATATAACAATTTTGAATAATCCAGTATTGGCCACTGAAATTTTTTTTGGTACTGGGGATCAAACTCATGACCTTCCAATTTCCAGGTAGTCACTTATGCCACTGAAATAAATGCCCAGCCAGAGCTATTAAAATTAAAAACATGATTAAAAACTTACCAACAAAGAAAAGCCCAAGTCCTGATGGGTTCACAGCTGAATTCTATAAGAAATTTAGGTAAGATTTGATGCCAACACTTCTCAAACTGTTCAATGAAATTGAAAGGGAAGCAATCTTCGCTAACTCATTCCTGGAGACAAGTATTACTCTGATACCAAACCCAGAGAAAGACAACCAAAAACGAGAAGAATAAGCCAACATCACTAATTAACATTGTTGCAAAGATTCTCAAAAAAAGGGCTGGCAAAGAGAATGCAGCAAATCATGAAGAATATTATACATCAAGACCAAGTCAGATTTATCCCAGGAATGCAAGGATGGCTTAACATATGCAAATTAAAAGATGTAATACATCATATCCACACAGCCAAGGACATGACTCTCTCAGTAGATGTAGAAATAGCTTTTAATAAAATCCAACAATTGTTCATGATAAAAACCCTAAAGACACTCAGAATAGATGCTATCTATGTCAGTCTGCTAAGGGCCATCTGTGACAAGCCAACAGCCAACATTCTACTAAATGGACAAAAACCTGATAGCTTTCACTCTAAAATCAGGAACAAGACAAGGATGATCACTAGCACCACTCTTACTCAAGGTAGTTCTGGAAACATTAACCAGAACAATAAGACAAGAGAGAGAATTAAAATAATAAGAACAGGAGAGGAAGAAGTTAAATTCTCACTATTTACAGTATGTAAAAGATCCTAAAATCTCTATCAAAAGACTACTAGAGTTAATGAGCAAATTCAACAGTGTATCTGCTTACAAAGTCCACTAAAAATAAATAGTGTTCATGTAAACAAACAACAAACTACTGAGAGAGAAATTATGGAAATATTGCCTTTTATAATAGCATCCAAAAAAACAAATACTTAGGAATCAAAAAATGAATGTTTAGGAATCCACCTAACCAAGAATGTAAAAGAACTATATGCTGAAAATTATAGTAATCTAAAAAAGGAGATTGAAAAGAATATTGAAAAATGCAAAAATATCCCTTGCTCTTGGTTAGAAAGAATCAACATTGTGAAAATGGCCATACTTCCAAAATTGTTATATAGATTTAACATAATCCCAATAAAAATACCATTAACATATTCTACAGAAAAAATCATTTTTAAAATTCATTTGGAAACAAAACCAACCTAGAATACCAAAGAAAATTTTGGGTAACAAAAGCAAGGCCGGAGGCATCACAATTCCTCACTTGAAATTATAATACAAAACTACAGTGGTAAATTCAGCATAGTACTGGCAATGAAATAGACCTCAGGATCAATGGAAAAGATTAGAAGATGCAAACATAACTACAAAGACACTCAGCCATCTTATATTTGACAAAGGGGCTAAAAATTTTAAATGGAACAAATATAGCCTCTTTAATAAATGGTGCTGGAAAAATTGGCTTTCAACATGCTGAACACTGAAAGCATACCCATGCCTATCACCGTGCATTAAACTAAAGTGACAATGGATCAAATATCTAAATAATAAAACAGAAACACTATATCTACTGTAAGACAATGTAGGTAGAAATTTTGAAACTTTGGGTGAGGCAAAAACTTCAATAAACAAAATGCAAACTTTATGGGAATTATTTAAAAATATCAACTACTGGGATCTCATCTTATTAAATAATTTTTGCACTTCTAAAGAAAGCATCAACAAAGTGGAAAGAAAACCCATAGAATGGGAAAGAATTTTAGCCATCAGTCCCTTAGACAAAGGACTTATATCCAGACCATACAAAGAATTGAACATCAAGCCCCACAAATTCAAAAACCCACTCCAAAAATGGTCATCTGAGGTGAACACACATTTTCCAGATGAAGATATACAAATGGCCAATAAATGCATGAAGAAGAAGTGTTCACCATCACTGGTCATTTGAGAAGTACAAATTAAAGCAGTATTTAGTTATCGTCTTACTCCAGAATGAATCGCTGCCACCAAGAAATCAACTGATAACAAATGTTGGCGAGGTTGTGGGGAAAAAGGAACACCTTCTCTACTGTTGGTGTGAGTGTAAATTACTGTGGCCAGTGTGGAAATCCTAAAAAAACTAGGTTTGGTATTCCCATTCAATCCAACTAATTTCCTCCTGGGATTTTGCAGGAAAATTGAAAATGTCATGTCAGAGCGGTATATGTGCACCCATGTTCCTAGCAGCAAAACTTGTAATCAATAAATCTTGGAAACAACTAAAATGTCCATCAACAGCAGAATGGAGGGAAAGATGAGATAATTTTATACAATGGAATATTACTAATCTATTAAAAGGAAAATCTTATAGGTAAATGGAAGCAATTTTAGATTATCCTCATAATGAAATATATCAGACTCACATTTTAAATATCATATTGTCACCCTAGTGTAATAATAAATAACACTAATGAAAAACTGAAAGTGTAATAAGATCCAAATTATGATACAATATGTATCATAATAATGAAAGTGAAATACAGTACTCAAAATGAATGAACAACTTGTAGGTATACACATCTATCTGTACATATGTTTAAGTGTACAAGATGGATAATACTACTAATTCTCAGCTAGTTCATCAAAAAAAATAGTTTGTGCTGTTATTATTTGATTTTCTATTCATTTTTAAGCTTAGATTTTGTAACTTGAATACTGCTTCTAATATAACAACATGTAAATATTAACTAGTGTTGATTTCTTACTATTATTTTTGAAATTCTGTATTATTTCTACTCTTTTTACTGTTTTGCTTTTATATGAGAAACTATGTCTGCTTTGAGTCTGCTGACATTCTTATTGATTTCCTTTGTTACTTCCATTGCTACCATTTCAGATATTTCAGAGTTGTGGCTAAAATTAATGATATTCTTCTGACAACAAAGCAAACCCAAAAATAACTTTGAGCTAAAGAAGTCTTCAGAGTACATACTTTGCTTTTAAATAAAGATCAGAACATAAGGAAATTACTTATTAATGTTACAAATTCAAGTGTTTTCTTTGCAGGGGAGGAGAGCACTGTGATTGGGAGAACTGCTAGCATTCTTTTGGTGATCTTGTGAATGTATCTAACAGAGTTCTACATTTATTTTACACATTGTTCTTTATGAATTGAGTTTAAATGATAACATGTAAATTTAGAAACTTCTTTGAATATACTTTGCCTTGACCTGAATGCATCTTAAATACTACTCAACTACTCACCCTGACGACTGTCTTACCTGTACATACCACAGAGGCTGTGTTTCCATGGGCACAGGCAGGAACACCAAGGGCAATCACAGGGCAACTCCTTAAGAAGGGCTCATCTCCTGAGCAGTGGAATTGGTCTTTCCTGATTTCATCCCCTTCTTCCACAAAGTATTCTCCTTTTGGGGTGGCAATGGCAACTCCACAGCCGAGCTGGTGGCACACAACATTGGCATTGGTCATGCTCCAATGAGAGGCACAGAGCGCTCTCCAGCCTGCAGAAGTGTTCACCTCCACCTGACCCTCACACTGAGAGGTGCCATTTTTCACTAGTCGGACTTCAGCGAACTCTGGTGGAAGAAGACAGGGTTTCATCACATTTGTTCTTGAACCAGAATAATATGCAAAGATGGAAAATCTGCTGAGTCTCACCTGAGCAGACAATTTGAACAATCCCTTTATGGTGACACCTGCCTCCATGACAGGGTGCTCTGGGGCAGAACCATAGCTGAGATTCCTGGCCCTCACACAAGAACTCTTCATGCCACATCTGTCCTGTGTACTCACTGAAAGTCACATTTCCCAGGACAGATGCGGCCTTGCCACACCCCAGCTCTGCACAGATGACCTGGGCAGTGTGGAACGTGAAGTTCACATCAGATACTGGAACCCATTTTCCTCTAGAGTTCAGTTCTACTCGCCCTGAGCAGGGTCCCTCTTCTCCAGCGAGACGCAAGTATCCTAAATGAGGAAAAAACAGAACGAAAGAAACAAAGAAAGAAAGAAGAAAAGAAAAGAAAAAAATAGAAGAAATATTTAAAAAATGTGATTCTCAGACTGGAATTTGGCAATATCATGTGACAGTCAAAAATATGAAAAGTTTCCGTGTCCCTCAGTGGTTGGGAATTTGAAGAGAACTCAACAAGTGAAGTGAAGATGAGTGTTGCATGTGAACTGTCCAAAAACAAATCCAGAAGGAACATACATGTTTATTCTGAATCCCAGGAATAGGTAGATATACACAGACATAAACATAGAGATAGACGAAGTTATATAAATATAAAAATACAGTTATAGATATAGCACAGATATACATTTACGTATAGATACATAGATATAGGCAGAGGTATAAGTGTAGACATACTTACAGTTGTATTTTTCTATTTTCTTATGTGTCATGTCTGCATGTTTGTTTGTGATAGTCAACCTGATTTGGTAAATACTGCACTTATTCACTCAATATAAACTTAATGTGGAATATGGATATAATTATTTTTAACACCATTACAGATATTTTTTACTGTCGATATAATAATGATAACAGTTAATCAGTAATTGTAACATTTACTCAATATTCATATCTATTTCCATTTAAATAGTTCACACTGAGGCAAAAACTCATTTCAAAGTGATTTCTATTTAAGCAGAAAGAAAAACTAGAAACTCCATCAGAAGTGATTAACAAATTGTTTTGTAACTTCTCTCTCCTTCTTAATTTTTGAGAGATTATTTTGCTCCTAGAGAGTAATATTTAAGTGGTCCTTGTTATTAAATAATAATATGATCAGGAAACAATTTCAAGTTTAGGTTTGGAGCACCTAGGAAGCATTTCAGTATAGATCAGGACTTATTTTGTAAAAGTATTTGTAAAGAAGAATTTCAGCCTGCATTGTTTTCTCAACAGAAAAGTATAATCAGTAGTATGTTTTAGTAACCCTAAAATTACTAAAATCCTATTTTAGTAATCCTAAAATAATGTTTTAGGATTACTTAGGACAGGCAAATGAGTTTTAGTCTACTTTCTCAAGTAGTGACTGTAGAAATTATAGGTAAACATGCTTCTGTATTTTTATGACATTAATATATTAAAATGGAGTCTTAAAAGTCTGAAGAGTTTCTATAAGATCATGTCAGCCTATGTCATGATTATAAAGGGATGATTGTAATATTTTTTCCATGGAAAGTCAGAATGCAGACAAAAATTTCAAGCTAATATAACCAATCTTACACATAAAATCAAAATTAATGAGACTGGCAATTATTTCATTAATAAATAGCCATCAATATTGTTGGGGAAGTTCAGGTAGTGATCATGATCCCTGTTCTGAGATAAAACAAAATCCTTGAATGCCAAAGAATGCACCTTCATTCCTTCTTTATATCTTCTGTTTCTACTTGGATCCACCAGCTCTTTAATTGTCAGTACAGCAATAACACTGAGGGCAGCCAGTTGTGCAGGAGTGAATCAGTAAACCTCTGGTTTACTTAGGTATTCAGACTTGATGGCAGTTTATTTTTTCTTTTATTTATTGGTTATATTAAATAGCATATTTTATTTTACAGACAAAACATAAAAATAACAATAAAATTTCAAAACACAGAGCAGGAGAGTTACAGTCATTAATTAATACATTGAATATTGTTTTCTTTGCAGTAGCCGTTCAAAGTGCAAGACTTAGGTATGACATTTTGTCCAAGAAATATTAGCAAAAACTTTTCAAGGAACAGAAACTCCCTGTGTAACTATCTTAACTATCTTGTGTAAAAATGTACTCCTTTCCTGTACTCTTATTTCCTTCCTTTACCCTTTCCCCTTTCACAGTTTGTCTTTTCTTTTGGACAGTTTCTTTCTAACTCATCATATCTATTGCACACTTTGGACTTCATTTACTCATTTAGTTTCTCTTATTAGTGAGGCAATACGATCTTAAAAATTTGATTTATTTCACTTATGAATATGGTGTTGACTTGAATCCATTTGCTTATAAAAGAGGAAGAAAATACATAAAGTTAAGCAATTAGGAAGGAAAAGACAAAAGTCACAATGAAGCCTTTAGGAATCCAAAGGCTCAAAATATAGTATGAGCACCTATATTTTAATAAGATAGAAAACAGAAGAAAGGAAAATGTTCCTGTATATAATTGCCAAAAGCAAGTGAAGAATATGAAAAATGCTAATCTGATATCAATAATGAAATTGCAAATAAAATTTAAAAATTATCAACAAAAAATTCCAGGCCCTGATAGACACATTGGTGAGTTCTACAAGCAATTTAGAGAAGAACTAATGTTAGTACTGTTGAATCTCTAAAGAAATACAAAGGAATCAGTGCTTTCAAAACCATTGCTGGGAGCAAATATTATCCTGATTCCAAAACAAGAGAAGAACACAACCAGATAAGAAAACTACAGGCCAATCCCCTTAATGAATGTAGATGAAAAAAATACTTGCTGAGAAACTCTCAAACAACATGCAGCAGATCATCAAGATTACACATCAAGACTAAGTAGGATTTATTTCAAGGCTGCAGGATGGTTCAGCATATGAAAATCAATAAATATGATACAGCATATTAAAAGAATCAAAGGCAAAATTCACATGATCATCTCAATAGAGATAGAAAAAGCATTTTATGAAGTTCAACACCCATTTATGATAAAAACCCTACAGAAAATTGGAATAGATGATCTTTACCTCAATGTTAAGAAAGCCATCTATGAGAAACCAACAGTTAACATCATATTAAATGGTTAAAAACTCAAAATTTTCATTATAAAATGAAGAAGACAAGGATGACTGCTATCATTACTGCCGTTTAATATAGTTCTGGTAATATTAGCAAAAGCTACTCACAAGAGAAACATAAAGGAATAAGGATAGGAGAAGAAGAAGTTAAATTATCATCATTTGCAGATGACATGATACTCTACATTTAAGATACTCAAAACTCCATCAAATGGTTCATTTTAAAGTCTTAAGAAGACAAATGGAATTCCAAATTTGAATGAAATATCACCACTGCTTTTGGAAGTCCTTTTTTAGAGGATTCTGTGATATCTGGTTAAGACATGCTCTAGTTGATATGTTATGATAGTAATTGAGCCTTTGACAATAATTTTTTATCTTCTGCTTTACCAGGTGGTTGAAGAAAATAGAACAATTTTAATGTACCTTTTCCTTATGTTTTTATTTGGTCATCTATGAGTTCAATGAGAAATTGAATTTAGGCATCATATTCTACTTATCTTTCCTTCCGCACAATTTATAATCATCACTAAATTTCACATTTTGAATTGTGTGTTTGATTCACCTTGGCTCCTAACATATGGATAAAAAGAATGCGCAATTATTTCCTCAGTGCAAGCCTCTTATTTTATCCTGAGTAATGCAATACGTCATGGCTTGGGCATGATATAAAAATCCTCAAATGGTGGGCATATGCCTTCAATGACCATTTTCCATGGGCTAGAACAATGACATGTGCCATCTCGCTCTGAGTTGTAAACAACATTCATATTGCAATTCTTTCTTTGAGTTTTGAGATATAACATGAAGTCAACTTATCTGAGGCATTTGTTAGAACACAAGACATTAATTATAATATATAGTTCAAGATCTGTCAATAACAATTGTAATTATAAATGGCTGAAGACCAAATATGTTTGATGTACAAAGCTGGCAGGTTTTACAGAAAAGATAAACTTCTTAATAAATTGCATCAGAAATGAGAATTTGATGCTTCCAGTACATTCCATATATATAATTTTTTCTAGCTTCTTCTTATTTCCTTTTACTTTTCCTCCTTAGAAAGCCTTTTCCACAAACCTGAGTCTCTATACCCTGCCAAGATACTTTGTTGCATAAGAGAGTATATTCTGAGGAGGGTCCTATTGACCCCACTTTCCTTGTGAGTCCACCAAAGTGATCAAGAAGAGGGTAACCCAGAATAAGCAGTGTCTGGACAGAGCCCAGCATAGGGATTCACTCCATATACTGAGATCCTTTCTGAGGGTCAGGGCTTACAATCCATGTAGGATCTATGTAAAAGCAGCTACATTATGAACATTTTGAAATTATGATTCTTTTATATGGAAAGGCAGAAATATTTTTGTGTCTTACTAAACAATTAAATATAAATGATAAAACAGGTAAATATCAAGGATGTAGTTAATTATTTTCATTTTGCATGAGCTTGTAAAGTTCACAAGAAATAGTTGTGAAGAGTCCAAGAAACTGATGAACTAGAAGGATGATACTGGAGGGAAGGTTAAATGGAAGAAGGCAGTATAGTGCATGACCTGAAAGGCTACCATGTTAGGGATGATAAAGGTGACCACATGCTTTTGGGGCAAGGTGTACTCTGGGAATTTCCTTCTGTGGAAATTTTGCATTTAATTGTTATTTGCCTGTAGACTCCGTGACCCAGAAACTAAGGTTAGGATCCTTTTTGGCCTAGATTGTACCAATATGTGGAATAGTTATTTTCAGGAATCAATTTACTCCAATAATATGGACAAAGCAGTACCTCCATGGTGAGAACTTCAGCTTGAGCTCGTCCCTGTCAAATAGCACACTGACTGTTTGGAAGTTCCTGCTTTTGAAATATAATTAAATCTCTACTTCACATTAGTTCTATTTTTGTGTTCCTCATTCTATTCCTTCCTGTAGGTCTCTAGGTAGGATTCTTCCTTTTGTAACCCTCCTTTCTGCTGTTGTTTGATATCCTTGTTTTGTTCTGGCTTAAAGATGTGTCACTTCAACTGCTGCCTCTGTCATCACATGGCCACCTTCCCCATATCTGTTACTCTGCCTTCTCTTCTAAGGACACAGTTATATTGCATTTAGCGTACCAGTGAGACACTTTAGAATATTACTAAGTACCATAGACAGAAGGCTAAAAATGAAGACCCTCTCAAATCTTCTCTGCTTTATTGAAAGCTTTTCTTTTGAATTTGAGTTC